TTGTTGTGGTGGGTAGGGGTAGGTGTAGTATATATATATATATATATATATATATATATATATATATATAATATATATATATATAATTATACATATATATATATATATGATGCTAAGGTTACAAAGAATTCGTCTGCGGTTCACGAGGCCGTCTCACTAGTTGACTTCGTTATATGTGTTGGTTAAGCACAAACATAGCGTAGTAATCATAGCACAGTACACCTCAGAACAAACAGGGACACCAGTGACAAATGTTCATAGCAACTCGTTGGAGATAAGAATTAAAATGAGCAAACGAAAGAGCGGCTATAAAGAGCATACAAAATCTCTTGCATATGAACACATACACGGCATGGGGATAACAACGAGAACCAAGAATTCGGTAAACATAAACGGGTATCACGCCATCTTTCTGTCAGTCACATAGGTATGTACAAGCTGAAAGAAATGATGCGGCCACATTCATGCATGCAGTCAGCATATGTTAGAAATGTCGACGTCATTTCCTTATAACACTGGTAAGAGAGTATGATATGGACCTAGCCGTGTGCCTTAGCAGAAGAGGTGGAGAGTACCCCATAGACCTAAAGTCTTCACAAACGCACGTGCGAATGAAGAAAGCACGTGCGAAACCAAATCACCGAAGAAATATACATACCCTATCGACTCTATAAGGTAGTAGTACACATACACTCAACTACAATGAGCCACACAACATTATGCCACTACCCCTGGTTTATGCTGTGAGCACTACTAAAGTACTGCCACAGGCGCTCACCTTGTATTGATTTCCCTTCCACGATATATTAGCCTTTCCTGTTGCCCCGCAATTCGTAGTCATGTTTTTTTTATACTAATATAGTCCGCTCTATTCGCAAAGAAGTTGGCGTTGTAAGGGTGTTCGCGCGATATAAATATATATATAAATATATATATATATATAATGTGGTTACAGCATCAATGTAGGCTGTTGTACGCCTGTTGTAATCTGGTTCTGGATTTTGTTTAACGTTCGGTTTTTTCCCTAACAAATATCGGTGAACCCCGAGAATAGACCCTCGGTATACTGTATGTATCTGATGCACGAGGACGTCTAGACCTCAGACCCTCCAAGCAGCACCTAATAGGCAAATAACAATACTAAATACAGTGTAAATCCGTGCAGGTGTCAAAAACTGTGCGGTCCAGCTGGTCCTGACTGTATTTTGCTGCAATGATGGTTGGCTGGAAATGTGCGTCTTCAGTCTTCACACACACACACACAAACCGCCTACACAGTTCGGCGTATGCCTGTGACCGAAACACCGGCTAAACCTCAGGCACCAACGCCCAGGCCCCTTTTGTCAAGGCCAGCGGAGGCCACAGCCCCGAATAGTTTTATATTAGGACAATGCACAGTAAACGTACTCGACTAGGATGTCAGGTAGTATACGTATTCCAAAATCCCCACACAGATCCAGAACAAAGCTGTGTTTACGTATATAAAGGCGAAAGGCGTATTTGGATCGTTTTACAGCTACACTGGGTAAAGGTAAAGCAGAGAGACTCCATCCCAATCCAATACCCAATGATATCTACCCATCTAAATTTAGAACTTTGCCGCCAACTGTGATGGGTTTCTTCCAATAAATCGTGAACCGTCGACTTGCTGTCTGTTGGCTATCGCATGTTGTCCAAAATATCGACCAATGCAAATACCTACTGCTTGCCAGTGCTTGATACTACATTTAATAGCTAAAGCCTATAGGCCTTGAGCCGGCTTTGAACCTTATTGTGCGGGGAGACTGGGGACAAGACTCACAGAAGAGTCACAAGCGAGACTGAGAGAGTGAAGAATCAGTCTCTCTACTGAGACTATTTTTATTTATTTATTTTTTAAAAATCAAACACAATAGACCTTGAGGCGAGAGAGAGGTGAGAAACTGAGAATCCGTGTGAATTTTTGAAAAACTACTTAATTTTACTTTTTTTCATGTCTATTTTTTTTAAACCTGTTTGTTTTTATTTGTTTTGTAAAACAAAATAAAAAGAATACATTACGCATCTTTATGTACCGTTTTGCAGTCAAATGTTAATCGGTATTTCTTAATACGCCTTCTGATTTCAAATCATACTTTTCGGGCAGAGAGACCCATGATGGAATATTGAGGACAGTCATGCAGAAATAGGGCTATCCTTGCCCCAATTATTCTGTCGCTTGGTATACGAAATCCACAGGCTGCTGGCTGGCTGTGTTTTGGTAGTATGTATTTATTCAGACCATACAAACAAGGAGCGCGTCACAGAGATCAATGACACCAAATTGAAATTAATATTTTAGTGTACATTTGTGAAATATCCGTCGATAGATAATATAGAAATAATAAGATACTAAATACAAGCAGTGTATCGGTGTATAGTTAGTTATACGCTTCATAACATAACCTTTTTATGCATTATATGAATCTTTAAGCACAATGGAAAAATTATCTAGGCTGTTTGGCGCGAGAGGAATGGGTGGCATGCAGGTATATTCGTACAAACTGAATTCCACTGATTCGCTAGTTCAACAATCCGATAGTGTGTGTGCGTTACATGGCCCAATTATGTTTCGGTCTTCCAATATATTTACGCGTGTCATTGCTGGGTCTAATATTTGTATTCCATGATGCTGTACCAGCATATTTGCATATTGATCTAACCATATCTGTCTATTATTTGATTTCAACGATAATGGACCAGCTTGTTTACACAATAATCTATCTATAATATATATATATATATATCTGTGTGAGTGTATGTATGTGTGTATGTATGTATGTATGTGTGTGTGTGTGTGTATATGTATACATATATATATATATGTATAATGTATATATATAACTATATATATATATGTATATATATATATATTAATATATAATATATATATATATATATATATATTATATATACACACTACTATAATATATATATATATATATATATATATATATATATTATACACATACGTGTATGCGTTTGTGTATAAGTGTGCGTGAATGTACATATGCATATATATATATATATATATATATATAATGTAATGTGTGTGTATATGTGTGTTTGTTTGTATGTATGAATGTATGAGTGGTCGTAAGTATCTATTTATACATATATTCATTTATATATGTGTGTCTCTCTCTGTGTGTGTAGACATATATATTATTATATATATATATGTGTGTGTGTGTGTGTGTGTGTGTATGTGTGTATGTACGTATATATATATATATATAATTCGTGTATATATATATATAGGTGTGTGTGTGCATATGTAGATTATTCTACTTATAAATATTATATATGTATTATATGTCTATATATATATATATATTGAGAGTGTATACTCACGTACGCCTGAAACTTTTTTGAATACGTGATTGTGGTTGAGTTTGGGTATGTATGTACGTTGATGGAAATGTATATATACTCTTATAAATACTTACAAATTTATACAAAATATAGGCTCAGTTTTCATAGTTGTATATTATATATAAATGAGGGCGAGCGTGTTTATTTTGCAAATGCTCGACTATGTCTAATCTATCCGTCACAATAATCGTGCTAACCTCTAGCATATAGGCAGACTAAATTATACCGTATATATGTGGGTTATATTCAAATTTTGTTTTTAAGTGTTTGTAAAATATGTATTATATATATATATATGTATATATATATATACATGTACGTATATATATCTGTATATGTATATATGTATACATATATATTTATATAGCTGAAGATTTATCTCAATATTAAACCATATTGAGCTGTTACTTGTGTTGGACTATCCCAAACCCCTCGTGTATCAACATCCGCGCTCGTAAGAGATATGTACACATACAACGTTTTGGACTTTTATTGAAGCGTAATCTTTCTATATATATATATGTTTATATATACTGTGATATTTTCTGACCTTTTGTGATTAGAATGCACATTACCCTGTTTCCATAGTCTTGAGTCATCCGGGCGCAGGCTCGTGATATCGCGTGGCATGTCTGTAAACCTTTATTTTAAGATTGCTTATGAGTAGCCTATGCCCTTGTTGCTCTCGTTGCTGGATCCAATTGTGTGACGTGTGTATGTTTTGTGTTCATCTATTCATGAACACTTCTGTGAGTATCCTCTTACTGTTGTCATTTGTATGGATTCTGTGCTAGCAACTCTCAATCAGGAAACGGGTGCCAATGTTCTTCAAGAGAATGTATTGTATAGCTTTCGCCTGGAGTGAGTGCGCGAATAGTTCTGCGACTTATCTCCGCTTTGTGTATATTTTGATTTGACGTAGGTGAGACTCACGTGGATGTGTGAATATGTACGGTTTGATCTCGTGCACGCTTACGTTTCTATGTCCCCGTTTGTTCCTGCTTTAGTTGTGTATGGTTACGTTGAGACTCTAAGGATGTCCTTCTACTTTTGCACGGTCTCATAAAAGTCGGTTGGAAGTTATCAGTACTCTTGCACGATTCCCGTATACACTGTATGTTGTACTGGCCCTCGCGCAATAGTTTTACCGTGCTACACTGCTATGTTTGCCTCTACGGTACACACTCACCACACATCCAATTCTGGGCCGGTCACAGACGTCTAGCCTGTGTTCACCTTGTTCATAATGTGTACCCTCCCACTCAACCCCACATAATATTGCACCAACCCAGGCCCCCATGACCGATGCACCGTTGGTGGACACGGCAGAAATGGTGTACATCTCCTCACTCGCGCTGCTGAAGATGCTGAAGCACGGGCGGGCGGGTGTGCCTATGGAAGTGATGGGGCTGATGCTGGGTGAGTTTGTTGACGACTACACGGTGCGTGTTGTGGACGTATTCGCCATGCCGCAGAGTGGTACGGGCGTGAGTGTTGAGGCTGTAGATCCCGTGTTCCAGACAAAGATGTTGGATATGCTGAGGCAGACCGGAAGACCGGAGATGGTCGTGGGATGGTACCATTCCCATCCAGGGTTTGGATGCTGGCTGTCTGGAGTGGATATTAACACGCAACAGAGTTTTGAGGCTCTCAATCAGCGCGCGGTGGCCGTGGTTGTAGACCCCATTCAGTCCGTGAAGGGAAAGGTGTGTACGTGTCCGGTTTGCAGACTATAGTAGTGTCAGTTTGGTGGTTTAATCAGCATACAGCAATTGTACTCTGATCAGAAATTGGTGAATCGATCGGCGGGAGTATAGCAAATCTATTGGACCCGCTGTGGGACTGTAGACTCTATTCGATTCAATGCAATCACTGACCTATACACTAACCTCATCTTCATGTTTTAAGTGATTTGTTCGGCGTGTATTTATCATTTTGTGTGTTCAACTACGAGAAACGTGTGATGTGCCCTCGTCTGTGGCTCTGGTTATTCACTCTGGTGTATGCTATAACTTCACATGTATGTTGTCTTGGTTGCCCGCTATCTGAGACTTCCACAAGGTGCTTTCATATCACTGGTCAATCGTATCGAAAGCTAATTTCAATATGGTCGGATTGCTTATTACTCGCGCACTTGTATTCCAGGTCGTTATAGACGCCTTCAGATTAATAAACCCGCAGATGATTCTGATGGGCCAGGAGCCTCGCCAGACCACATCAAATATCGGCTATCTCAACAAGCCCAGTATCCAGTCGCTAGTACATGGACTTAATAGGCACTACTATTCTATCTCCATCGCGTCGCGAAAGAACGAGCTAGAACAACAGATGCTTATGAACCTAAACAAAAAGGTATGTGACCAGTTCATCACTTCCGAGATAGATTTGTATTAAATTCAGCTTTGCTCTGTGTTTGTTCTATGTTTGTCATCGACTTTGGCCAGTACACGTGCGCTTGAATGCACGTGTCGCATTACTTACCATCGTGTTATTAAATTTTATGGAGCTTTGGCTGGCTTTTCCGGACTCTGGTACACAATATCCCTCAGCGAGCAAATGCAAATCATATGCTCAGTCCATTACAGCTTAGGCGAGTAATGGTACAGAAGAATATATGTGCATTGCATTGCTTTGCAATGCATAATTCTACATTTCACCGATTTGCATGTAGATTTATATGTGCTTGTATTCATTTGCTAATTAATTAACTGCAGACTTGGACGGATGGCTTGGCCCTCACGTGTTATGAAACGCACTCAGAGGAGAACGCCAAGACAGTCGAGCGTATGCTTGAACTCGCGAAGATGTACACCACCGCCGTAGAAGAGGAGGATTCGCTCACAGAGGAGCAGATGGCTGTGCGCAATGTGGGTAAACAAGATCCTAAGCGTCATTTGGAAGAGCAGGTGTCCATCCTCATGACCAACAACATTGGCCAATGTTTGGGTGCGATGACCAATACAGTGGTATTCGGCTGAAGCAAGATAGTGTACAAGTGATTTATTAAAATGTTATTATTTATTTGGGGCTATGGATGACGTATATTGGGTGTGTAGTAAACAGCTCATTCGAATACTTTGAAGATTTAGTACACCATGCTTGGTAGCTCTTCCCGGTGTCTGTCGAATTAACTATATGTCCATGGGAATGCGTCAGTATGGCACGTATGTGAACCATACAATCAGTGCCCGTATCTGGATCTATTTTGATAGCATTCTGGGAGTACCGAAGTATCGGCCAGGTGTCAAATTTACACTAAATACAACATTATGAATGTGCCAACTTCCCACTGTTCGGTGCTGTCAGCGCAAATAACTCCGATTGGAACCAGGTTTTGTTTTAGATCTCCAATATTGTAGACAGGATTTTGGAAGTATATAAAAAATGCTTGTCTCTTTCAGTTGCCTACTCGAGTGTTTACTCGAATCAAATGACTTCGCGCACAGAGGACGGCTTGGGAGCATAAGGGGCCGCCAGTGTTGTTTATGCTTTTTCTGTGACTACTTAACATATCTCTATGAATGAGCTCCTTCTCGTTTCGTCCGATCATTGTCACGCACTGGACACGGACCTTGATTGAGATCTTATGTAGCATTACATACGTCCTAGGGTTCTTCATTCCGTATCTAAATTTACTGGTATCTGATTGTCGTTCTCAACCAATAATTTTCGCATGATCGACTTGGTATCTAGCGAGTTGCTGGATGGTTAAGAAACCCATAGGTGACAGCAGATAGGTATCTCAGTTGCGGTAGTATCCGAATGGCGTGCTTGTTGTCACAGTAACTGCCATGTCAAAGAAGTTGTTATTGAGGTAATGTATAGCACAGATATTGCATCAGTGACTTCATCACAGTAACCAATCCTGAGCCCTATTAATTCATTTCTAAAATCAATATAATCGAGAATGTTAGAAACAGAAGATGGCTTGGCAGCAGAAATAATGCAGGTAAACACTCTTACATGATTTTCAGGTTCGCATGTCTCATCGTATGCTGCGGCCTCAAAACAGTCAGGACAGATTGCAAATGAGCGAGAGAAAATGTTGTTTTTTTTGTTTAGTCAGAATGAAGAATTATGCGCAAGTGTATTGTGTAGACATAAAATCTTTTACCCTAAACTGTAATGTAAATACATTTTTTTTCTATGAGCAGCGGACTCGTTCAAATTTGTATCCTAATTCCTTGAGGAGTAGATCTCAAATAATATCCAGATGAGCCAAATCTTTTTAAAAAGGGTATCTCACATAGAGTATTTTTAAAAAGTGGAGAAATACCCGCGAGTTCTGCAAAATTATCTGCAGTGAAAAATAAGTAATCGTGATATGTTGTAGAGCTATTGCTGTTGGCGAGCACCTCGGTACCAAACATTGAGTATGCGCACGTTCGATAGCAATCACGGAGATTCCAATATCGTCAAGAGCATTCCATATCGGCATTCAGGTAAGTAAGTGATGGTCAGTCACAATTCTACGATACTTATTTATTTCATATGCAATGTTAGAAAAAAATGTGCTGATATACATAGAAACTGAAGGACATATTCATTAACTTTCGTACCAGTTTTGTGTAGTAGAAACCGATATTCTACAATAGGGGTGCTTTCTTAGTACCCCATAGCATTGCTATCTAGGTACCAACCTCGGATTGCCCGTAAAAACAGTCATAGATCTATTTACTACATTATAGTGTGTAGGATTTGCTCAAATTAAGTGGTCAGATAAGAATATGCACATATATATTCTGTAGCTTCTGAAACAAGCAAGTAGGGAAGCATTGAATAAATCTTATGGCCATATAGTAACCGCGGGTCCTTGACCGACCCTAAAATAGGTAATCTTATCAACTTTCCACATAGCAAAGAATTATGTGAAGGTTGACCAGGTGTTTATAATCCCGCCCCATAGTACGAAAGGTTCCGGGAATCCAACCAAATGATTTACCAGTTGTCTTCTTGAAGGCATCGCTGGGTAGCTACGTTCGAAGAAATAAGTTCTGAAAGCCGATCAAAAACAAAATTCTCAATTTATAAGAATGATTTCGTACCTGTGTGTGTCAGTACCCCTACGGGGTACGGGAATCCCTGTGTGTCATCTGAAATTGTACTTAACTATTATCCCGTTGGCATACCCCAGCGGATTTTCTCTACTTCTCTTGGAGTGGGTTTACGTCGCTGTCTATAAATATTAAATGTAGATTTTATGTACAAGATACAAATGGCGAACGAGAAAGTATGGCTGGTGGTAAAAAAGGTTGTTTCTATTTAAAGATTAACTTTTTGGAAAGTAAAGAATGAAGAGGTCTACTGATTCCATTCTGATTCGAGACTCTAAACCGTGCCGCACTTGATTGACTTGACATTGTTTTTCTGGAGCAATTGCCTCTGTCGACTGGCGTTTCGCTCTAAAACACAACTGTCAAATATTTCTCGCCATTCCAAACAGAGGTCTACTGATTTAATCCCAATTCACTTACTACAAACCGTGCTGAACTTGATAGACTTGACATTGGGTTTCTTGAGCAATTACCTTTGTCAATTGAGTGTAGTTAGTTAGAAATGCGCGTTATTCAAAATTCTGAGCACAACAGTATGTCTTACTATTGAACATTTTACCAGCTAGAATAAACTTATCTGTATGAAAAGGAGTTTTCACTTTGAGGAAAGGTTTATACGCCCCAATATATCGTCGAGTGGCTCAAACTGTGTATTGTGTGCACAAACAAATTCTACACATTAAACAAATAACACAAGGGCAAGGACCGGTTGAAACGCAGTTCATGATAATGGATACTACAGTTCCGCATCCGGGGTAATTTGAGTTGCACTTACATCTAAAGAATTTATTAGAACTGATGTTTTCTTCCTCGTCCAGATTATTGATCATTTATACAATAATGACGATTAACTACTACCAGGTTCGATGATATCAACACGGGTCATCTGTTTATTGCTTCAGTTAGGTTTTGCTTGAGTGAACATCTTTTCCAAGCTCAGGTGTATTCGTGTCTCTGACAGAATTCGTTTCAAACTGCTGGAAAGCGTTGTCTATCTTTTCCTGTGTTTTTGTCGACATACGAATAGAGAATTGCTTGTGTAATAGTTGCCAATTCAATTTTTTTTCTTGTCAATTCTATACATTAATTTAAATCCATCAAATAGTGCTATCTGTTGTATTTTCTTGATCGCAAAATAATTTGTGTATATATGTGCACTGATTTGTATACAGCTGCGTTGAATGCGTGGTATCGGGGGAAATAGTTGCACCTACATCTAAAGAATATATTAGAACTGATGTCCCCCCACCAATGCGTTCTATACCCTTTCATGTGTCTGTGTCGACATGTGTATAGATTATTGCTTGTTTAATAATTGCCAATTCATTTTTTTATCTTGTCAATTCTATATCTTGGGTTTTATTCCATCGTATAGTGTTTTTTTATTGCCTTTTCTTGATCACAGTATAATAAATTCCGTGTATATTTGTGCATTGGAGCCAAGTTCTCAGTGGCCTATATACTATTACACTGTTGCCTCCCGTGTAATCTCTTAATCGCAAACAAAATGATAGCAAGCGATATAGAAAATCTTGAGCTCTTGGTATCAACTTTAGTCACACCCACGCGAAGTGTTGATCACACCCACTGTCGCTAAAATGATGTAGAACATTACTTTGATGTGCAAGTTGTGCTACACGGAAAAAAATTTATCCTGGGCACTATATATCAAATACAAAAATTAGAAGTAAAAAAATAAGACTAATAGATAAAAACTATGTACAGTCTCTTGCATGAAATTAGGAGGAGATCGAATCTGAAAACGAGCTTCTTCACTACTTTTTCGACACAGCGCTTTTTGTGTCTTCTATTTTTCTTGTCCAGGCACGTTCCAGCTAAACGAATAGACACTAATACTTATCAGTATACTTTTAGTTGTAATCTAATACTGGATATATTTAAACCGAAGTATCAATTCGTAAACAGGGCTTGTCATGAACCGTATCTAAAACCCTAAAATCAATACGAAATCCCTACACATACTCTTCATCTCAAACAATCATGGGGCTGTAATATATACTACCGGCTACTGAAACAACATCAGGATCCGGAGATCGTTGTATATATTAAATTTGATTGAAATAATCTAATACAGTATAGTAATATCTCCCCATAGAGGGTTTGCGCAGTATTTTTAAACGCATAGTCACATCAGGTTACATTTCGAATAGAACTGGCCATTTTTTTTACCTCGAATGCGTACGGCACGAAATGAATCAGATGACAAGAGTACAAAGATTCATCTTTAATAGATAAATCTAATCAATACAACTAATTAATTTTATGTACAATCTACGAGTGGTCTACTGGTTGCAGGCACTACCAAGACTCTAGCCCGTTCAGCTCCACCTGCACTTCCTCGCCCTGTCTATCCTTAAGTTCTCCAATGATGAACGCCGTCTCTCCAACCTCCTTTAAGCTTGCGAGCACAACATCTACCTTACTACTGTCCACGACCAGTACCATTCCAATACCGCAGTTGAACGTTCGCAGCATTTCCGCGGGTGCGATCTGACCTGTTTTCCGTAACCAATCGAACACGGGGGGCCGCGTCCAGGCGCTCGTATCTACCTTGGCAACGATATTTTTGGGCAAAACACGAGGGATATTCTCCTGGAAACCGCCTCCAGTGATGTGCACTAGACCCTTGATGTTACCTGCTTGTATGCTTGGCAGCAACTGGGTGACGTATATACGTGTGGGTGTGAGCAGGGCTTCACCCAGCGTCTTTGATGGCGAGTCGAAGGGACATGCATCGCTATATGACAGCCCATTTTCTGACACAACGTGCCGTACCAGAGAGTAACCATTGGAATGTACTCCCGAGGACGCTAGACCAATCAGAACATCACCTTTCTGAATATCCGGAGTGGGAAGTATCCGGTCACGGGTAGTGGCCCCTACCGAGAATCCCGCGAGGTCATACTCATCGCCTTGGTACATACCAGGCATTTCAGCTGTTTCTCCACCCACAAGCGCACAGTTAGACAGCACACACCCGTCAGCAATACCCTGAATAGTGTGTATTTATGGAATGAGTATGGGTGTGACCGTGCTGCAGTGGATAAGAAGATTAGCAAACACACGTGTGTACGTGGACATGAGGTCAGGCGATATTCATGCCGTGATCTACACTGATGAACTGGTGTGACGTAACTCAAGGTGAACGATATTTCAACAAGTGCGTAAACATACATATTTGTATCGGAAATGACTTTTAATCATATCATCACGAGTTTAGCACAATATTGAAATAGACGCATAGGCCTACATAATTGGAGAGATGGCATTTACAACCATTCAATCATGATCATGGCATTTGCCTCCAGAGTCGGCCACATGTATAGCACCCCAGAACGAGCAGCTGACTCCTATAGGTATATATACTTACAACCGTGGCATATGCATAGCACTCTAGACTATGGGTACACACATGCAACCGGGACAGGTATATATATGCCAGACTATGGGTACATACATGCAACCGAGACAGGTAATATATGCCAAACTATGGGTGTATATATGCAACCGGGATATATGCAACCGGACTTGCACAACCAGACCACTAAGCTCTCACCGTACATTCACACACACCTTTACAACTTTCGCGGCCTGCTCCACGGTGAGCTTGCCACACGCATAGTAGTCCAAGAAGAACAACGGCTCCGCACCCTGCACAATGAGATCATTGACACACATCGCCACCAGATCCTGACCGATAGTCTCGTGCAAATCCGCAAGCTGGGCAATACGCAGCTTAGTTCCCACACCATCAGTCGCTGAGACCAGGATGGGGTCTGTATAACCCGCGGCCTTCACATCACACAACGCGCCGAAACCGCCCAGCTCTCCGTCCATGCCTGCGCGTCTGGTGGCCCGAGTGTAAGGTTTGATCATGTCGACCAAGTTGTTTCCCGCATCTATGGACACCCCGGCGCTGGCGTAGGTAGTCCCGGCGGTGGATTTAGCGTCGGTAGGGTTTAATGCCCTGTTGATTGGATCGAGGATGGGATCGTAGTTGAGAAGAAAGAGGCACAAAAACATACCGAGACCAGGTATTTTCGCTCATATGGCTTATAATTGTTTTGGCGTCTTATGTAATGCGATTATGTTTGGATTGATGTGCTAGCATTAACAGTCTGGGATCCTGATTCCAGTTGATATCAATATTTAGGGAACGGATATGGATCACAGCTTGTACGGTATGAGAGACATTCTGCATATACATTTTTAAAAATAAATGTATAGTCTACTCTCCAAAAGGCGTCGCATTGTTACCCATCAATATCTTTGTACCAGCAAGCTGACTAGCAAGGAACGAAACAACACATACTGTGGTAAATTCAAAGCAAGGCAAAAAGCATTGCGATATATATGTACACCCATATAGTACGCCTATGTTCTCGTCCATGCGAGGAGGCATATCACAGATGACGTAAATGTAGTACCGAACTTACAGATGCCCGATGTCGTTGCGAAAGTACTGACCCTCGAATGACACAGTGCGCATAGTCGTATAGGCGTTCTCTAACGCTTCCTATGGTGAAATACAGAAGTTATTGCACGTTAAAAATAGAAATGTAAGACAATTCAAACTCAGCCACCGCGTCCAACTGACGCGTATATATATATGGAAGTTTATGAGTATATAGGAGTATATATATATATATATATATAAATGCATATAGGAGTATATGTACATACACATATATATATAAATGCATATAGGAGTATATGTACATACACATATACCTACATATATATATATATACATATACCTACATATATATATACATATACCTACATATATATAAATATATACATATACCTACATATATATAGAACTTCCGTGTTTGCAGAAATTTATGATCAGGGTATATTCATACCATGTCTGATACATACGCGTATACATATACATGAACATCGAGTGAAACCAAATACGCGCATTGCTAGGAAGATAACCAAAGTGGCCTAATCAATAGGCGAGATCATTTAACGGTGGACGGGTAATACAAACAGATAGCAGGCGGGGATTCCAAAATTTTCCGGGATTACAAGCCCGGGGGAACTCTATTACCACGACCTTAGAGGACCCCCAATCCATGGTATTAAGCTTACGTCCCATCGGAAGCAGGTCGTTGGACTGAGAGTTCAAACACACACACAGTATGCAAGCAATCAACTGAAAACCATAGGCTTACAGATAAATGTACACTCACTCGCCTTGACAGTGGCTGCCTCGGCTGTGGCAGCGATCACACGACCGCCACTCGTGACCAGGACACCGTCCGCATTCACAGTAGTACCGGCATGGAACACCTTTCCGCATGCACTGGTCTTATCATTCTCAATTTTGATTGGCGTACCCTTTTGGTATGCACCTGTAACAACCAATGAGATGTCAGTATGGGGAGTTCAGTATTCATGATAGTAGAGAATCAGTGGGGAGGATACAAAGGAGTCACTGTCAGTATGTGTTGAACTAGAGTCGAGAGATCCGATTGGTTAGCAGCAGACAGAGATGAAATTACTCACAATCAACCGATCATAATCTCGCACGTATAGGTAACATATAGGTAACGTATGGCCTGAGTCTCATACACATAACTGTGTGAAATATGAGGCAATTTATGTTATATGAGGGGTACGTATAGGTAACGTATGGCCCGAGTCTCATACACATAACTGTGTGATATATGAGGCAATTTATAACTTTTTTGATTCGTACATGTACACGGCTGATACTTTCCTCTTCGTGAAAAGAAAGACAGTATCTGTATATAGCTATACGATAGTATCTGTATATAGCTATAAGACAGTATCTAGATATAGCTATACGACAGTATCTGTATATAGCTATAAGACAGTATCTGTATATAGCTATAAGACAAATATATGTATATAGCTATAAGACAGGATCTGTATATAGCTATAAAACAGGATCTGTATATAGCTATAAGACAGTATCTGTATATAGCTATAAGACAGGATCTGTATATAGCTATAAAACAGGATCTGTATATAGCTATAAGACAGTATCTGTATATGGCTATAAGACAGTATCTGTATATGGCTATAAGACAGTATCTGTATATGGCTATACGAATCAGATGAGAGATTTAGATACACACTGGCCAGAACTGCATCAGTGCAATTTGTTGATACCGTACATAGGCCTACTTTAACCTCAGTACTACACCATACAATTCCTCTGAACAAACACTTCGACTTGTGGCCACATGTACAAACAAGACTCGCGTCTTCGATAAGAACGCAGGAATACACATTCTGTTCCTCGACAGCTGCCCGAATTGGGCACCGGGGCACCGCATGTGTATTTCAAGGCTGTAGAACCTGAATGACCACATAGATACATGTATGTCTGTACATATATATATATATAAATATCAACACATCAATCAATCTCAGTCAATATACTTACATACATACATGCATGCATACGTATACATACATATATAAATATCCATGTATCATACCTGGGTAACCCCCAGCCACGGCGATGACGGTAGCGGCAAAGGCATCCTTGGCGCCCACGTGGACTGAGTCCAGATGGCCATCCACACACGCCATCAGCACGTGCGCAAGGTCCGTCCGATCGTCCAACAGCATGAGCACGGCCTGCATAGGAGTGGTAGCATGGATAATAAAACGTAGTTGAGATTGGCTAGTAAACGTTTGGGTAGGTGACGGGTTTGGCGTCCGTCGTATACGCGTGCGCCGAACTGGTGCTGTAATCCAGCAGAGCCGCACGGGAGTGATACAGAACGTGTGTATGTGTGTTTTAACGTAGGACCCGCAATTAGCACATCACAACTGAGTGGGCTAGAAGATAACTCACCTCGTACGCCCTTACAACCTACACTAATGCGCACACATATATAGTTAAGCGCCAACACGCGCATATACATCCACGCTAGTACCTCCGTTTCGGGGTCTCCGAATCGCACATTGTACTCCAGAACTCTCGGGCCATCGGGGGTGAGCATGAGTCCCACAAACAGACATCCAACGAATGGCGAACCTGTGAGAGGACGCAAGTATATACAGAAGTTGAGAGGAGGAAGAATGAGGTAGTATAGGCGGAACACATGGCTGTGGACGGGAGTGAGTCAGCAGTTCACGACGGTGAAGTGTGGCTAAATGCGCTCGTATTACAATGGCCAGCCGGGTTACTTCCTGCGCTAGCGAGTGTTCTCCCGTATTGAGTGAATATTCTCCAGCAATAATAAGATTACATTTATATATATATATATATATATGCGATCAGGAATGCTGTGGTGGTAGTACTCTCACTACTTCACTCGCACGCGACGGTACTCGTTGTGATACACAAGACACGACCATCCACATGCATGCATTCGCACACAGACAGACACTACTGAACTTGCTTCAAGCTAGACTCACTGACACAATCGTCCGGGCGAATATTTCCGTTAACGCCTTAAAATGCTCCACATTTTTTGTGCACCAGAAACATGGGACCGTTACCTCAAGGAGCATAGCGTTATTTATGAAGAAAAAGCCAGCAATGACCCAGCTTAACATAACTAACGAAGCTACGTACACGTCCAACAGTGGCACACACACACGCACACTCACACATACCCCGTTAACGCTATACACACAGCCCATAGCATACCGTTCTTTCGCATCCCAGTGATAGTACGCTTGACCACGTTCTCATGTACGGTCTTCATAACGGCCTCAGTCGCGAATGGGGTGGGCGCATATGCACCCATGCCGCCGGTATTCGGGCCGGTATCCCCCTCGCCAATCTTCTTGTGGTCCTGTGGGGCGGGTGTGGACAGGCATCCGCTGTGAGACATACATGCCGCGCTAGCACATGGGAGTGCACTAAGTAGGTCGTGTATGGCAAGGAAAGGCTGTGATGTGGTGCAGGACATATGGACTGTACAATGTATGGGAATCTGCCTACCGCACATACATAGACGAAGTAGACGCGGCGAGGCACCCAATGTAACAGGTATGTATAAATGTGGTTGAGTCTATATCTCGCTTCTCTCTCGGAATTTCCGATGGACTCCTCGAACTTGCCCATACAAAAATATCCCACCTTGACAGAGGTACACACATACACACACATATGAGTACCCTCACACACGCACACACACAAACAAAGAGTCTCAATATATATTGACACAGGTATATATACACATACACACCACCCACACACAGATGACAAAGATATGTTCACACACGCACATATACAAACCAAGAGTTCCAATACTAAATACGCAGGTATAGACACATATAGACACACATACACCGACCACCCACATATAGACAGGCCCACGCACCTGGGCAGCAGGCAGAAGCACAGACGTGTAACCGTCCGACAGCGCAAACACACTGATCTCTGGGCCTGTCATGAACTCCTCAATGACCACTTCATCACCCGCTGAGCCAAACGCTCTGTCCTGCATCACCTGCTGCAGAGCCGCAAGCGTTTCCTCTTTGGTCTCGGGAAGAAGCACACCCTTACCTCCGGCCAGGCCTAGGCGTGGGGGTGGATGGTTACGAGTTAGTGTACGAAGACTATTGTATGGGTCTGGGTCATACGGAATGAGGGTGTGGAGAACTGGCTAAGTACTATAACTATAAACGTATGCATGTTTTGTACACACGCATGTTATGGTGCTTCCCAACGGTTGAACGGCACACACGCGCCTCTACGGACAAACGCACGTGCGCACGCGTACGGAGATATACCCACAAGCGTCATGCAATGACAGTTGGGGAAGCTCAAGCTAGCCTCACCCTTACCTGAAGCTTTGACCACCACTCGATAGTCCACCGACTGCACGTACTCGACTGCCTTAGCGTAGTCGGAGAACACTTTATAGCGCGCTGTGGGGATGTTGTGGCTGAGCATGAAGTCCTTGGAGAAGGCCTTAGAGGCTTCTAACTTTGCCGCACGCTGTGAGGGGCCGAAGCATTTGATGCCGGCTGCCCAATAGGGTGCGAGGAATGGTGTAAGTATTGCAGGTATTTGATTGGTTGGAAGACATAGAGGCCAATAAATTCGAGCAAATGAACAATGACTTATGAGGCTTTAGCGGGTGTCTGAAAATCTGGTTGATATGAGCGCAATATGTTGAGGGAGATGGAACGTTCACTCCCGGCGTATCTGTAAGTGACACAGAAGGTATATGTAACCAGCTGTAGAGGGCCGAGTGAGCAGTGTACAGCGAAATGAATACCACCTACGTGTATACTAATGCACATACATATACATGTCTACAAATAAATTAATTTCACATACAAGACGGTTACCATACCACACAGCTATATATAAAAACTCGTACACACACATGCTAATACAACACACACATGCTAATACATCTTCGTAGATACCCCGGGTACAGACAGACCAATACAGCAAGCACACATCATCCCACCAGTCTTCAGGCTATCCGCAATCCCATCCACAAGCGGTTGCTCAGGGCCGACCACTACCAGGCCAATGTCTTCATCCTTGCAATACTGCACGACCGAGTCCACCTTGTTGACATCCAGAGAGACGTTGCTGATCTTGCCCTCATTGAGCGTTCCTCCGTTTCCTGCAGCGGAGAGTGGATGGCAGAGATTCAGTTCGGTACGATGAATCTAAATAGCGTGTAAACTATATACATAATTCTTGGGAATGTATGTAAACCGAGCACGCATAAGCATATTGACCGTTCGCAGGCAAACAAGAACCTGTACGAGTAAACAACTTTTTGAGAAATGATCCTCAACTCCAAAAGGGGGGTGCTCAGGTCTATCAGAGTCAGAGAACCATATGCGACCACATCATCTAATATCGACAAATGCATGACAGCTCACATAAAACCCCAAGGGCAAATTCCTGGGAAACAAGACCCAACAAATCCAAATACGCTCACCTGCCACCACAAGACGGAGAAGTTCTCGAGTCTGAACGAATGGAACTTTGGGCTAGTAGTACAGGTCAAGGCATTCGCAAAGAATATAGACGACGGGCATGCGTCCATTACGGTGCTCAATACGCCATACACACACTTTAGGTTGTGGAAATAGAACGATCCTATACAATCACTAGTAGCAGAACGTTCGAGGCTATATTATGTTCATATATATATGGCATAATTATATTAATATACTCACCTGGAGCTACGTAGATATGCGCAACAGAGTCGCTGAGGGCCAAACGCCACGCCAGTGCATGCTCACGCCCACCACTCCCGAGGATTAAAATATTCACTGTGGGAAGAACAGTGACAACAGACGATACGGTATTAGAGACGAGGAAAGGTGCGTTGTTTAACGAATTACAGGAGTGAGAAAAGAAAAGTGAAGAAAAGAAGCCGAAGCATTTATTCATAGGACTGGGACGGAGGAATCGAGATGGACGGTGCATTGTGAGATACAAGCGAGATGAGAGATTTGTGGGATCGGCCAAAGATAGGTATAGGCTATGCAATACAAAGGCTATACGCGACACTGCATAGGCCAGGTGTCTTTTGTGACTATACGCGACACTGCATAGGCAAGGTGTCTTTTGTGGCTATACGCGACACTGCATAGGCAAAGTGTCTTATGTGGCTATACGCGACACTGCATAGGCAAGGTGTCTTATGTGGCTATACGCGGCACTGCATAGGCAAGGTGTCTTATGTGACTATACGCGACACTGCATAGGCAAGGTGTCTTATGTGGCTATACGCGACACTGAATAAGCAAGGTGTCTTATGTGGCTATACGCGACACTGCATAGGCAAGGTGTCTATATTCAATTTTGCCTGTTCGAATAGGACAAGGAATATGGCGAGTCCATATGGACTGCAAATTGGAGTCGACTCTCTTTGGTGCAGCAATATACATATACGTGGCAACAATTGTTCCAGTCATGAGCACTGATGGAATCAGAACCAGATCAAACCAAACTCATCTTGCTATTCGTATATGAATTTGACAATATACAGACAATATACGAATATATATATATATAATATATATATATAAATATATATATATACATCCATATATATATATATGCATACATACATATATATATATATATATATATACATATATATTAACATATATAGATATTAACATATATATATATATATATATATATAGTTAGTTTATATATATACGAATATA